TTATCTGCCTAATTGCTGCCTGCTCTGCTCCATAACACTTCCCCAAAGCTGATTTATTTGTCACACTTAAAAATGTTCTCTAGTTTACAATGGGATTGCTTGTCCTAAATTAAATGTAATAATTACTCTGCATCTTTCTATCCCCTACACGCTGACAAGTGCACACATACGCAGACACTGCTTTGAATTTCTTCTGGCAGATGCAAATCTGGTATTTTGCTCATGGGTCACAAGAATGGTTGCACTTGGTTATTTTATTTGTTCAGTCATGCAGAGCCACAAATAGCTGTTTATTGGCAGCTCAAGTGTGTCCTAAGGATATTCATCTTCTGAGATTTCTTAGTTATCTTCCTCTTGTGCTTTGGCATTTTAAAACTCATCACAGATCAAACTATTGTACATCAATGTTTTACTTTAAAAACTTGGCTCAAGCTCACTTTTTTTCTTATGACAATGTATCTGGAAATCCATTGCTGAGTGAGAAGACATTGGTTTTCAAGAACTCAACAAAGACACACATGTTTACGTTTTTACGATCTCATTTTCAGAGCTGTGATGGAACAACTGAGAAGTTCTTGAGAACTTCCATCTGTCAGACGCTTCTGGTGTGAGAGAATTGGCCATCTGCAAGGACGTTGCCCAGGGGATGCCTGGATGATTTGATGTTTTTATCATCCTTGTGGGAGGCTTCTCTCATGTCCCCACATGAGGAGCTGGAGCTGATAGAGGGAATTCATCCGTCTCTCCCCGGATTCGAACCTGTGACCTGTCGGTCTTCAGTCCTGCCAGCACAGGGGTTTAACCCACTGCGCCACCGGGGGCTCTGTCAGACATAACCAACTGATTCATATCTAGGTTCATCATTCAAGAGGCTTTATTTAGAATCAGGACATTACAAAGCCCAATACAATTAATTCAGTTTTCCTAAGTGTTTTTCCAGGCACAGGCATATAACTAGAGCCATGTCATAGGAGCTATTCATGAACCAAAATGATGAATAGAAATGGAAATAATATTTCAAATATATTTTTAAAATGGTTGAAAATAGTTTTCTTTAGTTCCGGGAAACCTTGACGAGGAGAATCTTAGTGAGAAAAATACACATAGTGATGTGTTGTGTGTGTGTATGTGTGTTTCTGCGATGCTGGGGGTGTTTTGTTTGAGATCCTACTATGAGCAGGGTGTTGGACTCAATGGCCCATAGGGCCTTCTCCAGTTCTATGATCCTATGACTCTCTTGTATCACTCTATATAATATTGTGCATCTTTGAGAGGTTTTCTTTGCTTTAGATGTGCTGACTTTGAGCAGCTTTTCCAAGCCTTGACCTTCTCATCTGAGATTGCTTCTCAAAACAGTTCCACGCAGTTCTGCAAATGTTAGATTGACATTTGGAGCAGGCTTCAGAAGCTTGAATGCTCCCTTTTGGCTCCCTCATACGCCTGCCAAGATTCTGCAAAGCTACAGCTTTCTGTTCCTTAAGTCTCTGGGCTAGTAATAACATTTACCCGCAACTATTTCTTCCATCTGCAAATGTTGCCACTGACTTTGCTAATGTTCCTGAACCTCTTTGCTAGTTTACCCCCTGCCACCTGCCCCCTTGAATGCAACTTGAAGAGGAAGGATGCCAAGTTCTAACAATGCAATAAGATTATTTTTAAAAAAAATAAATCTAGGTTTATTCCCAATCCTTTGTAACCTAATTGTATGAAAGAGATTATCATAATTTGTTTGTTATTATTTTTGCTATTTCTCCTATGTCAGTTACAGCAGCTGAATCTTACAGACATTTATATTTTGGCCTTATATTTTGGCCTTTGGCCTTACAAAACAATAGATCTTTAGTGTTTGGCACATACCTTTTTTCTGTCTTTTCACCTTTTCTTCTTCTTCATTCCATGGTGCTTACTTAGGTTTGGTCAGTCAAATATATTTTTCTGCCTGTGATGAGTAACAAGGTAGCGCACACATCACTCCACCTACAGAAAAACATCACGGCTAATGGCTGAACTTTACCTTGCCAATAGCATACTACCTTTCATTGTACTTCTAAGCAGCAGGCCTGTGCAGTCGGTAAATGATGGGTTTTCTGATACATAAGTCTATCCCGTCCTCAATGTCTGTTGCTACAGGTTAGGAATGTGACAAGGCCTCATTCAATGAGTTGTTCCTGACGAGAATCAAGCCACACTTCATTCTGGAAACCATGCCCTGTGAGGAGCAGCTTAGGGAACTGAATTTGTTAAACCTGGAAAAAAAAGGTTAGACTAGATGACCCTTTCGGTTTCTTCCAAATTTTGTGATAGACCTCAAGGGATTTCTCAGTTCTAGCATGTCAGTGAGACAGCAGATGTTTTCATTAGGCTTCTGCAATTCCACAAAATATCTTTGTACAAGAGAAGTGTTTTTCTCACTGTGAAGAATAGTCGCACATGCACGTGGTGATTACAGAAAGGTTGATCTATCAAAAAGATGCAAACAATTCATCTAATGATTCTGATGTTTAAAGAGTTTGTGCAACAAGTCAGTCAGCAGCTGTTGTATTTGTGGTACAGTATTTTGTTTCAAATAGAATTAAATAAAAAACTTGTAAATACAAATCTTTTCTCAAAACAGGGAATAATATGTCTTCTGTAAGGAAAAGAGATAAATAGAAAAGAATAAAAAATGGCGGTTCTTCCATTTTGCACACAGGAAAGTTTTATGGTCAGACTTCCTTTTATATAGAAATCTATCCAAAGCATTGAACTCACACCACATTTACATGCCAAACCTCTTAGGATTCAGCCTCACATCATCCCAGCTTGCTGGCTGAAGAAGAAATCTGAAGTGTTTGCAGCTGCCTATTCTTTCTGTCAGGTGGCAAAGCTTATTTCTTTTCCCCTCCTCCATTCCATCCAGAGAAGCATCCGTGCACTTGTGGATTTGGTTTCTTTGCTTAAAAAACACACATACTAAATGCAATTTAAAATCAACTCTGCTCATAGCTTTCTTCTCTTGATGGGATAATGAATTCTTCATGGACATTGAGCAAAACTAACAACTGATAGCTGTCTCCTGGAAGTTGGTGAACCAGTCCACTTTTACCTGTTGGCTAACTATCCATGGCAAGTTAGTGGAGTTCCTTCTTGCTCTTCCCTGCTTTCACAAGGAAACCATAAACATTTTTTTCTGAAGAGAGCACACGAGTAAAATTCTTGCCTAATTGGGATGCTTCAAAATTTGCAAGTGTTTACTGTTGGGGCTGGGATAGAGAAAAACCTTCCATTATACTATTCTCAACTGTAAAGCCATTTCTTTGCTGAAGCAATAGATCCCCCCTTTTCAGCAACACTTTGTTGACCATCTTTCTTCCACACATTCCATTTGATTTCACTAATAATTTAGTAAAGTTAAATATCCAAGCTCCCTTCTAGTTCATCTAGCTCTAAGTATGATGTAACTGAAGTTATGTGGTGTCTACATGACAATCTGAACAACTTGAGGTCAAAATGATGATGGCTTATAGTTTCAAAAAATAGATCTGATTTAAATGCATCCACTTCAATGCTGTCTGTTCCTTTACCCGTCTAGCTTTTTTTCCCTATTATCGTCTTTCCTGGTCGTCCTAATTTTATCATCTTAATCATATATTTTTAAAGTAATTCTGTCTTTACTTTGCAGATATGTATTTGGAACTTTATTAAGCATCATCATAATAGTTATTTTTGATACTTCTGAACAATATGTTGTAGAAAAATTTGAGATAGGTCCATATGAAATTTCCTTGTCTACTGTATGCACACACGCATACAGTAGCACGACTAGTTTCATGCAAGGCACATTTGAGCTGAAGGTGTCAAAAAGAGCTATTTCACGCCCAACTGCACTTCCTAATACAATTCACATCAAAACTGGGAAGGTGTGGGTTGTGCAGTTTCTGTACGTGCAGCCAGTCAATATGTGTGTAATATGCAGTATATTTGATTCTACTGGCAACTACGAGAAGGGTTTTTGTAGTTACAGAAGAGAAAGAGAATGTGATCACATTTAAGACTTTGTTTCTCCTTAACATAGACTTGTGGAAAGGAATACCTCCATAGGCTGTGAATGGATTGCTCTAACAGCTAGAGGCCTGGATCAAGCCATTCATTGAGGTGCAGATGCATAAATAAGTAGCATGTTTACATGGGGTAATTTTAGGACCCTCAAACCATCTAAACCACCTGAAAAAACAGTCCCTCCCCAAATCAAAGAAAACAAATCTGCTCAAAATTCAGCAAAATTGCTTCTGGAAGTAGCATTGTATCACTTCAAAGGCACCACTGTTCTCTGGCACAAAGAATAAAGAAAGGCATGTAAAACGCTCAGCTAGAGATCTCTCCAGACCATTTAAAAATACAAACCCCAGGATTCCATAGGATTGAATCATGAAAGTTAGATGGTAATTCTATAAGTATGTCATGTGAATGGCCCCAGTTCTCTTCATGTTCTAAAATATACCCTGAATCTGTGCTTTTCATTCAGTATGTGCAGGAAGTCTATATGGTAATCCAAGTATCTATAATATTGTTCAAAGCAGGCTTTCAGTTTACCTGGAGGACACTGGTATTTGTTTGTGTCTTTGTTTCACATATTTAAAACTAGCAAAAATAATCTGCTGAATGACCTGTATATATTAGCCTGCCCTGACATGAAGGAAAGAATGAGGTTTTTCAGATTTTCAGTATTATAACAGATGATGGACACTGTATTTGAGATATTGACCAGTTGTATACAAAATGGAAGCTTTATTGTTGATATTGACCATTCACCTGCATCTTGCTTTTGGCCTATAACACGTGGACAAGATCCTTGAAACATACTGACCCAATTATTGCCTAGATATTACAATGCATAGTAATATATAATGAAGTACTTTAGCTACAGCACTTTCATACACAGCAGAATTATTTAAGATCTGAAGGACTTTAGCTTACTCATAATTAATTGTATGGATTTTTCCTTTTCTTCCTTTTTTCAGAGGCTTCCATTCTGAGTTATGATGGCAGCATGTATATGAAAGTTGTCATGCCCATGGTCATGCACACAGAGGCAGAAGATGTATCTTTCCGCTTCATGTCTCAGCGCGCTTATGGGCTGCTGATGGCCACAACATCACGTGATTCAGCTGATACCCTGCGCCTAGAGCTGGATGGTGGCCGCGTCAAACTCATGGTTAATCTAGGTATCGTACACAGACTTCCCCCTTTAGCTTTTAGTTTGAGCTTGGTTTTTGGTTTTCTTGTTTTGTCTCACCCACAATTCCCCAATTTGGTTGGACTGAATTATAAGTAGTCGCTGATGTACTTTTGTAACTGTACTAATCATGGAGACACAATCTCTCCAGCCATCACTGCATGAAGATATTATGTTAATTCCTGGTTATGAATAATGTGGTTCTTAAGTCTTTTTGTTGTTGTTGTTAAGTTTCCTTTCTGGTTCTTGAACTGGTTAGCTTTGTATAATACATGCTTTTCGGTCCATCTTTTGATCAATCACACCCACATTGCTCCATTTGTTTGCTATTCAAAACAGTCCAAAATTAAGTGGTAACATTGGCTTATAGCCCTTTAAAGGGATACATTTTTCAAATTGCAGGCACTGCTGTCATCAGGACTTCTATAAAATAGTACATTATAAAATAACCAACAGAGAGTATATTTTAGCTGGAAAGGGACAAAAGCTAATTAGATGGAGAAAAATATTTGAAAAAAACAGTGTTCCAATTCCATGTCAAGGTAAAAATGGAAACTGGGAGTAGGCAATATTGAACAGAATTCTGTAGAGTCGAGCCACTTATGCAATTGACATTTGCATCACTTGCTCAAGAAGGCATTCAAGACCTGGTTGTGCAAGTGGAAGTCACATGTTCTAGATGAGGGTTACTTTCTGTGAAGCTCTTGTTACATTGGGGTGGGGAAAGTCCACTCCACTAGCTTTCAGTAAAATCAATATAGTCCATATGTTTGGAGTATGCCTCCAATAATTCTCAGCCAGTGCTTGAGAATCAAGGAAGCTATGATAAAAAATAACCTGGAAGGGATGGCCTAGACAGCAAAAAGATCTAAAGGCCATCCAGGATATGAACAAACCTGCATATGTATAGCTTTAAAGATTAAGTACTGCAGCAAAAGGAAATGTTAATCATTTTACATACTATCTTTCCCTTAAATTTAGCTCTGCAGGAATGATATAAAACAGCTTTTCATGTGCAGCTCAGTTCTCAAAGAAAATAAAGGGTGTAGAGCAGATGACATTTTCTGCTCAACCCCTACCCTTTGTCCTAGGTTCCAGAGATGTAAAAGATGTTCCAGGTTTTTTTTCTTATCTTAAAGGAGCATCAGAACATATCAACAAAAATTATGGACAAAAATGTTTTCTGCTAAAAAAAGTATTTCTCTGCAAGGAGGATATTTTTTGCAAGAAAACAATTGTAGAATATACTCACATTATTTTACTTGGGAGAAAGAAAATACACGAAACAGATTACCTAGACCTTAAATGAGCTGACCACCTGTCCTTTCCAAATGTAAATGGTAGTATTGTTGTGATTCTACTTACTGTCCTCAACTAAAATGTTGCATAAGGCTTCCTCAAGTTTTACTCAACACATTCATACTCCATCTGTACCTTAATTGAGAAATAAATAATACTAAGCAAGTTCAGTTATGCAGTAACACATATTTGCAATGGTTTGAGATATTACTTGGTGTCTAAAAATTCCTTTGATAGCCCAGGTGGCCATAACATTAAAGATACAAATCAAATATAAGACTGAAAAAAACCCCACTTTTAAATACTGCAAATAATTAAAATATAATTACGTTCAAAGAAAAGTCTTTTAAGCTAGTGCCTCTTAAGTTATCTGATGTGAGAAACTAAATGATGTGTTCCATAGATGGGTACCATATCTGTGTCCATTGACTGCAACTGTTTCTTTTTTTTTCCTGGAAATGCACCAGGGATTGGCTGCCAGTAGCTCAAGGACCAGTAATAGTTCACTAGTTTTGGAGAACATGCCTTTTGACCATTGCAATGGAGGAAATGGGGGTCCCACCTAAAACACAATACTTTGATGAAATTTAATGAAAACCCACAAACGCAAAATTAAAGTGCAATGACATAGAGTTGGAACTTTCTAAGTTTCCAGAAAGAAATATTGGCAGACTGTTTTGAATAGTATTAAAGATTCTTGTGCTTGCTCCCTCTCCTTTCCCACTTTTTGTTTAATTCCATTTCGTTTCTTTTAAGGGTTGTCTGTTTATTAAGGTCTTCTCTGTGATCTTTTTACGCTGTGTATCCAAGTTGTAAAAGCTTCCTTATACCCCCATCAGTCACGGTATATCAAAAGATGGTATTCAACCCTTCAAAGGCCTGAAGCCTGCGGCCCGCACAGCAAACAGCCTTTCGAACAGAGTGTACAGAGCAGCCTGCAGGGGCTGGCATATCCCTCTCGCCTGCACAGTACCATTTAGCTGAAAAAACAAAAACAGAAAGGAGGATTAGATGGATTTGGAGAGGGGAGAGGGAAGGAAGAGTCTCGTTGCTTCTTCATGGAATTTATTAGATGGGAACTTGGCGCAAACCATTCCTGTCATTTCCTAACAACACATTTCACAACATACTGGATCCTGGCTTTGTCAAACTTGAATGCATCAGGTCTGACATCTCTGTGGAAAAACAGAGAGAAAGGGAACGGCGATGGAGAGAGAGAGAGAAAGAATTGAATGAGACAGACATTTCAAATGTGCCCCAGAATTAAATCTGCTATTTACAGCATATATTGAGAGTAGTTGCCACTCATACAAAAATGGATACATCTGATCCTCTGCCTTCTTGCTGAATATATTGGTTTGCAGCACTCCTACATGCTTATAAGACCTTAAGGTCATTCAGCACCTCTACCTTATTTCCTGTATTTAATTCACACAGGACTCTAGTGAAACTTCTGTTATGGGGAAGGATACATTCCTTCCGTTCAAAAGAGCATCTTCTCCAACTTGTATTTCTTGGTCTCACACTATGTTAAGTATCATTATTTTCTACAATTGTAGCAACTTCCAGAATCTGTGACCCATCATTCACCTCCTGGGAAGATGCTTTAAGAGTAATTAGTTGCAGTTTAAATTCTGAGACCTGAAAGTAGTAGGATAACATTATATAGTTTGAAAATAATGCTATATGTTCTCATTTCTTAAAAACACTTAAATGGCTGCCCTTTTAATTACAGTAGGTTCTCTATATTTCCCCTGGAGTTAGGGAGATGAGGGGACTGCAAAAGTGGAAATTCCCCCAATAAAATGAATTTTTTTCAAAGAATCTCTAGATCTTTAGTGTGACACCATAATATACTTCTGGTGGAAGATGTCTGTCGCAGCACATGCTTACTCCTTGCACCATGTGATAACTTCCTTCACCATTTAATGAGGCCCATGTAACTATGAAAGTTATACTGGAAAAGGGGGAATATTATTCCTCATGGATTTACAAGCATAAGTCAATGCAGTTATTTCTTTCTTATAGGAAAAAGTAAATAAACTTTTATTTCTAAGTTACCTTTTGTTCTCTTTCTTTAAAAATATCAGATCAACGAATCAATGAATGCTGTTGATTCATGAACCAGCAGTACTATTTACTGAGGCCCTTTCATTTCCTAGAAGGAAGAATTTGCTTCTTATTGTAAAAAATAAAAATATAATTCATAACATTTATAAAACATTTTCTGATTTCTGTATCAAACTTTCTTAATACAGAGATAAATTATGCTGCCTTCTCCTCCACTTTAGTACTTAGTAGATCAGGCATGGCCCTCCAGGTGTTTTGGACCTAACAGCCTACCTGTTGGAGGGCCAAAGGTTGCTCATGCCTGTAGTGGAGCTTCCCAAAAGGCAAGTTCTCAATAGTAAACAATAACAAGCAATGAAAAATGCAATCAAAAGTAACAAGCAGATTCCTAAGAATGACAGGTAGCAGAAAGAGTGATGGGGAGCAGAACAAAAACAAATCTGTTATTACAGCTGAAAGCACTAGGAAGCAGCTTATTTCATTAGAACAATCCTTGAAAAACCCTAAGGAGGTTCTGCAATTTTGTGTCAATTCCTCAAACAGCGTTGACCTGTCAATTGCTCAGCCGTAGACTTTTAAAAAGTCAACTTTTAAAACTAGAGTATATTTTTGTCCCAAGATAGAACCTTTTCTTGTCACATAATATTGTAAGATTTTCTCTTTCTCTCTCTTACTCCCTATATTTCCCTATTTCATATACATGTATGTATACCTCTTTTATGTTTTCACTTCACTGACACACGAATTAAAGGGATATCACCACTCCTGTATGGGGATCGTACCAAATGCTCAAGGACTGTTTGCTCCCACTTTTCTGTTGCGGTTGACGACACATGACAAACCTAATCGCACGAAACCAAACCCATATTTTCTTAAGAGAGGTTCTGTTGGACAACAGACTCTCTGTGGCTTCACTATTCCTGATTGGTTTATATCTCAGCACTCAGATTCTTTGCCTCCTGATCCTTTACTTTATTTATATATATACATAAAACCTTTTTTGGATAAATATAAAGGGACTGTTCAGTCCTCAGATAAAGGAATGTGAGGATGAAGATTGTCCCTACAGGCTGTATTATTAATGTTACAGTCTAACCAAGTTTTTAGTTAAAATACAGTACTTTTTTATCTAGACTGCTGGCAATGCAAGGTTCTCAATTTGTCTGTGGCTTTTAGTATGGAGAGCAGCTCCATTCACATTTGCTATCTAGTGTTGTGAGGTGTTGGCTCAAAAACACTTTACTGCACTCTAGCAAGTAACATATTTACAGCTCAATACATGAAGGAGGTACAAGGTTGCTTTCCTTATTCCTCCTCTTACAAAATTATGACTAGCCACCCAAGATATTTCTTGTGTTCACAGAAGCTCAGAAGCTTCTCAACTGAGACTCTTACTCTGCTATCTAATTTTGCAGTGTTAATATGCATTGGTATGCATTATCAGGTTTACATATTACCTTGACCCCCTTTTTGTTGGTTTTTGTCTGTGTTGTATTATCCGAATCATCTGAGTGAAGCATACGGGGTTGCCAAAGATGACCAAATCTGCCACTGCATAGTTGACCTGTTTCATCTTCTTCCTGAATGTTACTGAGGCATCATTCAAGCTTAACATTCAGGCAGCAAGGTGGGGCAGGGCTCTGAAGTGCTGACAAGCTGGCTACCTTTGGATCAACCCTTTCCAACCAAATAAAATGCCCCAACCCTCCAAAATGCACTGAAATCTGGGCTGGGCGTTCGTGCGGTTAGCTGTTTGCAAGTGGCCATTTTATGATAGGGGACAAGGGGCAGTATGGTAACCCTTTCCTCATCTCAGAGAACAGTGACAACATTCTCCCCCCACCCCAAGCATTTTGGGCTTTTCAGAGGGAGGCTGTCTTTAGAAGAAGTGGAAAGGGTAAAGTATTGTCAGAGAACATCTTTCCAAGTTAATCCTTAGGTAGAAGGCACATCTAGGCAAAAACACAAGTCATTCAATAGAAACAGTTTAAAGCTTGCATTTTAAAACATTCAAGCTTCTTAAAAGAACTCTAGGAGTTTGGCTTTTAAAAAGTTCACTGGGGAAAAAGCTAAATATCTGTTCCTTAATTATATATAAGCTATTTTAAACTAATAGTTCTTGATTAGTATCTCTAGATACACTATCAGTGTGCAATTTTCCTTCAAAAGAAAAGAATTGTTAAAAGGTCACATAAAGTCTTGTAAGATAGAGGTATATATAGCACATATACTATAATAGAAGTATATTTTGTGTACTTACTGACATGCACATACAGAGTTATGGAGTAGGTATATAAAGCTCCTATTTCTGTAGAACATGTTACACACATACAACAATCTCTGAACTTGTACAGAATGTATATTAATATAAAATGGCCACATCTCTTTGCGTGTGTCTGTCCCCGGAAGGGTGGACTGATTGTTTTTGGATGTCTGCAGCTGTTACCTTGAAGGATGCAATTTCATCTTTCATTTATTTTTCCCCATCTAGACTGTATCAGGATAAACTGTAACGCCAGTAAGTTTCCCCTCAAGTTTCATTTTGTTCTTTCTCTCGCTTTCTTTGAATATTTGAAAAAAATTAACATTATTCCCTTTGCTGTTTTATAAACTGTTTCTTCTTTTGTTGTCACTTTATTTGTTTTTTGGGGAGAAATGTTTTGAGAATGAGGGTTTTGGTAGATTTTGAAGCTGGGGAGGATTTGTGATGGCTGTATTGGATGTAATGTGTATGAAAGCAATTTCCTGAGGGACGAATGAAATGTTGCATTTCCTGGCTTCGCAGACAAGCGCCCAGGGAATGGGAAGAAGTGAAAATGTATTTCAATAGCTTTCTGCTGTCTTGAGGAAAATATCCATACAGGCAGTTTTGTTACAGCATAAAAATAACAGGTATTGTATGCACTTCTCCACTACAACAATTTGTTTTATTGTGACAAATATCTCATTTATTCCACAATAGTGACTGCTTTATCTGATATTTCTTCAACATTCATGCTTAGAGGGGGTTATTAATGCAAATAAGAAAGCAAAACAAGTTATTTGAGGTTGGGGGAATTAATAAATTCCTTTGTCAAAGTTTTTCAAAGGTTAAATGTTTTCTTTAAGAGACAAAAGTTCTGGAGCCCTATGTCAATCTTGTGAATGAACACAAAAGTATTAATAGCTAGTAGAAAAAAATTCTGCTGAGTTCTGGTCTTTTTCCAGTAGCACGTTGCATTTTTTAAGAACAGAAACTGTTTTCCTCTGGCAATCCAATTAGTTTCTATTCCAGACATGCTCTTTGTCCTGTACATAATTTGTCAAGACCTATAGGTATAAAATTATTTCTTAAATTGGGTATAGGAAGCAGTCTTCCAGATATTACTGCACTGTGACTCCTGGCAGCCCTTAACAAGCATATCCAGGTGTGAAGAATACTAGGAGTTTCACTCCAGCAACATCTGGAGAGCCGTATGATTCCCAACTCTGACTTAAATGCAAGCTTGCCTTATAGTGCATTTTATTGTGATTTGTTTGCTTACAAGACTACAGGCCTTTGCATCTAATTATCAACCTCATGGATAAGTAGTGCCAGGGCTTGACAAAAATTACTTTTTGGATTAAAATTTCCACAGTCCCCCAGACAGTGTGGCAAATGGTTGCTGTGATGCAAATAAGTCCATAAAAGTTCTTTTCCCCAAGCTTTAAGAAGAAGTAGACCCAAAAGCACATTCAGCTCCTGAAATGCAAAACTGAAAGACTGCTACATCTTCTTTCTCAAATTAAAACTTCACAATAGAATGCAAGCCTATTGTTCTGCTATTCCCATTATGCCTGTTATATTCTGTTGGGTCCCTTACTGGAAGAAAGTTGGAATTGTTTTTTAAAATATTTGTATATGTCCCATTGATTTTATGTTGGCTATTAGAATCATGGGAAGTTTGGACCAGCAGCTTGGGTTTTATACAAAGCCTGAGAGAATAATATGGCTGACATTTGTGTGAACATAAGTTCATAGGACCATCTTATACTCATGTCTACACATGTGATTCTGCAGAAATAATTCTGATAGTCAGTGGCATTAGGCAGAAGAGTTGTATACTGTAGCTGTGTTGCATGGATATAACAGTGTACTGCCATTTTATAGGACAGCCAGTATGGTTTAGTGGTTTTGTGTTAGATTAGGAACCTCATCATATGGAGGTCCATAAAGCAGGGGACAGTGCGGGGAGCAGTGGGGGAAATTGTCAGGCATGGCCCCCTTACCATCCTATGGTGTTTACCATCTGCCTCCAGCTTCATCCTGCTCTGCCCCTAGCTTAGTCAGTGAGAACACAGGTAGCCATGCCAGAAGTAGCCCTGCATCATGTAATGGGCTCCAGTGGACTCTGCCCTGGCTGCGTTTCAGCAGTGTCCTAGGATGGGGAAAAAGGCCCATGTGATGAGGTCACAGGACTCTGGTAGACCAGGGCTCAGACCTCTGTTTGGACATGAAAACCCAGTGGACAAGTTGTTCTCTCAATGTTTGAATCAATCCCATAAATAAATCTTTCCAAGACATCCCTGTGATGAGTTTGCCTTAGGTTTGTTGAAAGTTGGAAATGAATGAAGCAAACAAGGATAATAAAAACCACTTTATAGCTCCATTTTGTGAAAATCTGGGATTTATTGTTTGGTGAGATACTTAGAATTCTCTGTTACAGAGCTCTAGTGCCTTTCTTTGAACTAGAGCTCTCTAGAACAGAATTCTAAGCATGTCACTAAAAACCAAATTTCAGAATTCCTGAGGATAAAACAATAGCAATTGAAACAGTATTAAAAGGCTATAATGATTTGTTGTAGTGGAAAGAAAGATCACTCCAAAGATTCTTTTCTTCCTAATAGCTTCAAATCAGACTAAGATTTGGAGCTATTGGGCATAAGAACAGCAACAACAATCCTACCTAATTCTTGTATGATATACGGTTTACAGCCTTCAGTACATTTGTTCTCTTTTGAGTGACCAAGTCTAACTGCTTTCTGAGTCTTGTGAAACAAGAACATAATTAAATGAGAGAGATGAAAAGGCAAAAAGGTTTATTTTCTTGCTTGAGAGCTTTAACCTTTTGAGACGCAAAGAACTCCTTTGACATGTTCCATTTTTTCACTTTTAAAGAATAAGTGCAGACACATGGAGAGAAAATCCTCCCCACTCTCTGATTTTTGTTGTTGTTGCAAGATTGCATGTATCTAACATATGCAAATACTGGACCAGCTTCTGAAAGTTTTGTCAGCTTTATCTGTCTTATGTGGAACAGTCAATTCTCTCTCTACACTGAGAAAACATGTTGTTACATTCAGTAATAACCAAAGGTAAGGCAGAAAATAAAAATAAAAGTGTGTGCTAAATGAACACAATGTGGTTTTCAGGTAAGGGGCCTAAGCTGAGAGTTACTGAAAAGTATCAGATAATGCAGTCACTTCTGTTAACTTAGTGTGGGGCAATTGGTCTATGTTCTTAAGAGAAAACAGAGTTATTCTTTAAAAAATAGCAATTGTGGTGGTTTGATATTTTCCCAATATGGACATCAAAGATACGGGTTGTAAGTACTTCCACACCTGACAACAGGTAAGGCAATAGATTTATTTTTTCTCTCCTTTTGTTTATGTGTTCAAAGAACTGAGAAAATGAATGTAACTGTTTAAGGAGAAGTTGGTCATATTTTTTGTTGTTCTTCCTCTCTCCTGCCGCCTCCCCCAACCGACATATATTCTACTTTCATTCATTTGTTCCCTCACTGTGAAATGGCAAACATGAACTAGAATTCAGTGTTTTGGGTCAGGTTTTTTTGTGTAAATTAAGATCTATCAAATGACAAGTGTTAAGACGCTCAAGGATAGTGTCATCAGCATTTTATAAAGCAGATTTCAACAAAACTGGTAACATAACATAATAGGTGGCCTGATTACCATCATAACAGAAAATCCCAGCTTTGTTTCTTTAAAAATTGCACAATGCCAGGACAACTTTATATTTGGCAGCGTTGTGAGATGCATGACAACAAATGAAAAGAGATTAGTGACTCCGATTGCATAATCCCATGCATTGCTAAGGATAGAATCTTATATGCATTTTACCTGGGGATAAAACTCTTCAAGCTCAATGGGTCTTGCATATCTTCCAACATTTCACAGATGAAAACTAGGACATGTGTGTCCAAACAAGAACTGAGTGGTTAAGATGACAAAAGTTATAAAGCTGAGAGGGACTGCAGCAATTTGCTTTTGCCTAAGTGGAAAGAAAGATCTTACCTCTCTTCTCCAATATCTGAGCCAATTGAGCATTTGTCTACACTGGCTCCAAATCCCATACTCACAGCAAATGGACTGCTGTCTATTCCCATGATGCAAAGTGGTTTTCAATAAGTATCGTGGGGATTTTTTTTTTTGCTTTAAACCAACTCTACCCCACTTTTGGCAAAGTCAGGGGATAACTCAGTAACTTGCTGTAAACTCTGGAATATCCCAGGGTTTGGGGGCAGTGTGGACAGTGGGATTATATCGAGTTTGACTTGATCCTTGTCTGTACATATACTGGCACAATCACAGTGCAGGTAAAGGGTTGGATTCTGCCTGTGTTGCTGCTTCCACTCCTAGTCAGCTCTGGAGCTCTCTCCAAACACTTGGCTTTCAGGTGCACCTCTGCTGATGTTAGAATGGGGCAGGAAGAAGGAAGGGAAATTGCTTCTCCACTTCTTTTTGTTAGTTGCATGGGTGACAACAGCAGAGGTGCCTACAATGGCCTAGAACTTGGATAGAGTTCTATATACAACTAGAAGTTGTAGTGGCAACATGGAGGAGGTGACCATTCAGTGAATTCAGGACTGCTCTGGAACAGATGAGCCTGGGTGCAAACTACTTTTGCGCTTTGAACTCAGTTTTCGGTAATGGAAATAAGCTGAGGAGAAAATAGGTGGAAGAAAGAAAAACTGGGAGATTTTAAAAGCTGTTGAAAAAGTAGGATGACAGGAGATTAATCAGGACAATGCCTGCCAATCCTATCAAGTTAGAAACTTGATAGGATTCTTCACATTCTTCACAAGTACTTCTGTATATATATATATATATATATATAGAGAGAGAGAGAGAGAGAGAGAGAGAGAGAGAGAGAGAGAGAGGTTTGTCATTCTCATCTGCTAATAAGATATAAACTTATTGTTCAAGTAGACAAAGTAGACTTTTAAAGCATTAAATTGATTGGTGATGGATTTTTCATGTTAAAGGGAAGAGTAGTACATTTGCATGTGCAAGGTAAAAGAACCCCCCCCCCCAGCCCAAAGCACATAGGGCATACACACATATTTTGAGGTAACAAAGGCCACAACTTCTTTATTGGTTACGGCTGATATAGGGTTGGCATCCCTACATGGACCAGTCCATGTGATGAGTCAATATAACAACCTGGTAGAGTCTGATGCAACCTGTACCAATGCCTTTATCTAGTCATCGATGCCAGCAAACATGAAGGAGTATTGTGTAGACTGGCATCTAACCATT